TGCTTGTAACAGATGACTCAGTCAGTTGGTGGATTCCTCCCTGGAGAGCAGTTAATATTTTCCTATCTTTATCCTCCTTGTCTTTTTTTTATGACAGTATTTTGGGATCTTTTTAATGATGCTTTCAGAAGTGTTTAAAAGGAGATACACAACACCTGTGCAAAAAACCCAAAGTACACATCAGCAACTGCACATCACAGATAATTTGCGAGACGACAACAGCACAGACCAGATGGACAAAGATGACTAAACACTGTATGTGGATCCATGCAGTAACTGTGGGGACCCATAATCTTGGGGTAGCAAAGCAAAAACAAAAAGGCAAAGCAGAAATCGAAGGGTTGACAGCTCGAGCAGCTGTGGCTGCCCTGGGATTGGATTTGATTGGATTTGATGAGATTGACTAGTAAATTAATGCAAAATAATAGAAAGTTCTGACTGATGTGGCATGCAGCTGTCTTCAGCCAATCCAAACTCTATCTATTGGGGCACCACTCTGCAGAAGAACCTGTCTGTATGTACCTCCTTATGTTAATGTGTAAAGTTGTATATGCTTCCAGGTGGGGTTTAGACACACGCTGTTCAATCTTGTGTGGATTTGTGAAATAAAGCTCTGCACTTTGAAGTCTTATCAGGTTCATGCAAAGATAATTTTGTTCATATGGTGCTCAGCAGCACATATATGACTCACTGGGTGTAGAATATGTAAACGGTGACAGCTCAAGGTTTTAGAATGGATTAAAATGATCCTTTACTGTCCCTCAGTGGGGAAATTAAAGATTTTGAGACATGCTTGAGTAAATGAGATCTGAAAAAGCAGGCAGGGAAGCAGGGAATTGATGGATTGATCTGACATGGATCATTACAGCACAAAGAGTTTTAAAAGGGATGGGACGTCATCTCCTTTCACTGACATCCATCTAAAACAGAGGGGTTTTACTAGGATGCCTTTATGTTTTTGTAAATAATTGATGTGCTTAAAATGAACAATTCAGTGAAGAGATGTTTGAGGTGGATGCAAACTGTAGGTCTTTCTTCAACCACATCTGAAAAAGACAATCGCTGCAGTAATCTGAAACAAGCGAAGTGGGATTAAAGTCTCTCTTTCAGGTTTAAATAATGTTATTCACTCATTAATGGATGCATGTGATTTTCATTACAGAACCAGTGTCTTTTCTTCTCAGCATCAAAACTGTCTTCCTGATGTCAGTGATCAGAGGTAAATGGGCCGACAAATGCAACCACTTTTTTTTTTTTTTTACAACCGATGTTTAAAAAATACAATAAGTGAAGAAAAATGTTAAGAGCTGAAGTAAATTGGGATTAGGAGCAGAAGACCACAGCAGATAAAGCTTATTTGGCTGAAAGCAGGA